GAGGACGAGGGATTCCTTTCCAAACTTAAGAAAATGTTTACCTCCTGATATCCCAGCCGAGGTAGGAAAACTTGTGAGGTCCCTTCCCTTTGTTTCCCTCTATGAACTAATCACTGTTTTCTCTCACTGTAACCAACATCATACCCCATACCCAATCAAAAGAGCTAGAAGAGATACTACTTGAAGGCATGGTAAATCTAGCAGCCTCTCCACCCATGGGAGCAGAGTGTGGCAGCCACTTAGTACAGGGCTGAGCCAGGCTGCAGCAGCCAGCCTCTTGGGTTTGAACTCAGTTCAGACTCTACTGGAGAGCTTGTGTTTGGGGAGGCTGCCTCATGATGCTCCTACACCAGTTCCCAGGGGTTCTCTGTCCCACAGTGGTAGGACCAGCTTGTCCATGGTCACAGAGGACAACTTGTGGTGGAGCCAGGCCTAGAACTCAGATCTCCTCCACTCCCCCCCCCCCTTCATGGCTGCCCATCCTGCCTGGGTAGTGCAGCACTGCAAACCTGGGGGCTGCTGTAGGCATAGCACTTGCAGTGTCTCTGGACACAGAGACTTTTATGCTCATCCCTGGTGCTAAGGACTTTTGACCCTGTCTGCACAGCCTCTTCCCAAAGGTGAATGAAAGCTCTCCCACAGGGATGTGTTCTGGCATCTGACATGTAACTGTTTGTCTCCCTGGCTTAGGAAAACGGTCCACTGGAAACTAGGCCAGGAGCAGCAGCCTCTTCTGGTGGCCAAGGCACCTCAGAGATGGGAGGATTCCTGAACAGCAGCCCTGAGACCTGGCCTACAGAGCCCTCAGGACTGCCTGGCAACAGCAAAACCATGTGACAGCACCTCTACAGGAAAGGCCATGGTGGACAGCCCCTGGACAGTAAAATGTAGCATCCAGGGGCTAGTGGAAGTTTCCTGTCCATGGGTAGGTGAATTGCCTCTTTTGGCTCAGGCACGATAAGGCAGTTGGACTCTTCTTGCAGTACTAAAACTCAAATCTGGAATCAAATGTGGAAATCGTAGTTAGTTAAAAGAATTAAAGGCCATGCTCACAGCTTAAAAATGAAGCCTTAAACTGTTCCAAGTTGTGAAGTGATTAATTTCTCTCACAGCAAACCTCCAGAGGTCCCAGAATGAGTCCTTCTTGACAGGTTGGCTTCCCCAGGAACCGTCCTCCGCTAACAGCCTCTGCAGAGACATCAGTCACTCCTCTTGGAGTTGGTTTTTAATTCCTCGAGGTACCAAGCCTCTGGAAAGTGGGTGCTGGGGGCCTGGGCAGCCACACTGAAAGGCCAAAGGATCCTGGAGGTTCTACTCGTCATTTGTCCCGCTGTCTGGGCAATGGGAGTGGAGGGCCTCCTGCCGTTCTGAGCCATGGCAGCTGTAGCTCTGCTGGGCAGACCTGGCTCACTGAGGTAACTCAAAAAGCCTTACCTCAAAAGGCCATGTCAGCCCAGGGGCCTGGTTCTCCCCACTTATATGCATGTTCAGATTACTCAGTGCTGAGAATCATTGTCTTTTCCTATGTGTTTGAAGAAGAAAGCACAACCTCAGCCAAGAAGGTCGCACCATGCAGTCAGAGCAAACGCCCTGTCTCTAGACACTGCTGGTAGCATGTTGTGGTTTCTGCATTTCGAGGACCGCAAGCTAGAGCTAGCATAATGCAGGTTAATGAAGAACACTTCTCAGTAGTTTCCTTTTTTCTCTTTATAATTTACAACATTAAAGCATTTGTTAGGGTCTGATTTAAGAATGTAAAGTGATTATGTATTAATGTAAATAAGATTGTCTACTGCAAAAGATATTTAAAACCTAAATTGTGGTCATTTCTTTGAGTTCGGACAGCCTTCTGCATGTGGCTCAGCAGGGGTGACTTCAGTCAGTGTGGTCAAATCCTTCAGAACACAATGAATCAAGGGCACTGACAGGGCTGATGGTGGGTTTTTGTTTGTTTTTTCAAACACTAAAATTTCTGCTTAGGCTTACTCAGGTGGCTAAGGCAAGAGTCTTGAAATTGCAAGGCTAGCCTTGATGACTTAGCAAGACCCTATCTCAGAAGAGGTGGCTCAAACCTGTAACTGCAGAAGAATCACAGGTTCAGGGCCAGCAACTTAGCAAGACCCTGTCTCAAAATAAAAAGTGCTTATGAGGTAGCTCAGTGGTAGAGTGCCTTTTGGGCTCACCCTAGTACTGAAAAAGAGAAATGTGTATCATGATTTAACTAGTCTGGCACTCAGCAGACACCTGGTCCCTGGCACACAGCTCATGCCCGCCCCAGTGGTCTAGGCTGAACAGGAAGGTGTTGGGATTGTTCCCTGAGCTGGGTAGAGATGGGGTAAGAGTCATGTATAAAGCAGGCTCAGAAGTTTAGTGCCGGCATGGTGGCACATGCCTGTAATCCCAGTGGCTCAGGAGGCTGACGCAGGAGAATCAAGAGTTCAAAGCCAGCCTCAGCAATTTAGTGAGTCCCTAAGCAACTCAGAGATTTGTCTCTTAAGTAAAATAAAGAAAAGGGCTGAGGATGTGGTTAAGTGCCCCTCAGTTTAATCTCCAGTACAAAAAAAAAAAAGTGACATTTGGTGAACTTGGATACTTGCCAGTATTTAATTCAACAGGTTTATTGCCTTCCTGCTGTGAACGTGCAGTGGGCCAGGGACTACTACACAAGCCCTGGAAATGCAGTGATAGGTTGGACAGAGTGTCAAGAAAGTATAGGTCTGTCCCTGGAGAAGTCAGCTGGGCCTAATTCACATTCTGTCCTTGGAAAGTATAAGTCTGGAGTCTTTGAAAGAGGAAGGTGGAATTTTTGGCTAGAGATACCATTGTTGCTGTGCTGAAGCCTCCTTCCCTCGTGGTGTTGAAAAGTGGCCCTGGAAAAACTGCAGAATTAAGTGCTGCTTCCAGGATTAGGGTTGGTTTATTTCTATGTGGCTCCTGAGTTTTGTTTTGAGATTTCTTTGCTCCCTTTCAGATGGGCTGGGGTGCAAGAAGATGTATTTTAAATACAAAAATGGCTGCTTGGGAGGCTGAGGCAGAAGATTCAGAAGTTCAAAGCCAATCTGAGCAATTTAGCAAGACCCAATTTCAAAATAAATAAAAACTGGCTGGGGGTGTGGCTGAGATAAAGCCCCCTAGGTTCTATCCCTAACACACACAGAAAAGTTATCTCCAGGACACTGAGCCTTTGGGGGTTGAGAATAGAAACAGAGGTAGATGGTTAGTGTTTGCTAAAATATTGGGAGGGTGGGCCAGGGAAGGTGCAGTCAGAGTAGACAAGGCCAATTGGTCTCAGCCCCATCCCCACTCAAGCCCCTGCTGATTCTGTCTCCAGCCTGAGCTGCCCTCCTCACAGTCAGCCCTGTTGGTTCCTCTCACTGGCCTTTGCATCCTTCCCTATCATTGGAACCCCTCAGCGAAAGTGCACAACTATCTTCCAGCCATCTGTGCCAAGACTGACCATCCTTCCTGTCCAACAGCAGTGTGGACACACTGAAAATGGACCATGGCAGCTTGACAGCTTTACAGAGGCATTTTCAATCACTCCTGCTTATCAAATCTGTACTTATCTTCTAAGTGTGACTCTTTAAGGGCCATAAGGGGGCCATTCACACACTTTATATAGGGCTGGGGGATGTAGCTCAGTGGTAGAGTGTGGGGAGCCACACTGAATGACCCATGCCTTCCAGTCCTGAAGCAAGGGGCTCTGACCAATCACTACATTTGTGGTGACTTGGGCATTGTCCCAGTAGGTAATGCCTACATCTGAAGAGCAAAGGCATTACCCACGAGGGTTGAGTTACACTCATGTGTCCCTTGTAACCCTGCCCCTTCTGGCCTTTTTTAGATATAACTTTCTAAGAACAAAGAGTCCCCTCAATAAAATCTCACTTCCGAATGTGCTCGTTCTCTGTCGCTAGTCTCTCTTGACTTTCTCTTGCTCTCCCTTTTGGAGAGCCTGAGGCCAAGAGCAGAGAAGCCATCCTGAAGCTTGTGAAAAGGTAAAGTGTGTTTGTGTTTTATTTGGTGTCCCTGCAAATTCACGCGAGCGATCTTAAGTTCAGCTGCCCGCACAGGTTGAGGGTGCCAGTAGAGCACTTGCCCAGCAGGCACAAGGCCCTGAATTCCATTCCCAGCACTGCAAAAAAGAAAAATAAATAAAAAGCGTAGAACTTTAAAAAGTCTACAGTTCTGGCCAGGCATGATGGAGCACACAGATAATCCCGCCAACTCTAGAAGCTGAAGCAGGAGCATCACAAATTCAAGGCCAGCCTCAGCAACTTAGCCAGGCCCTAAGCAATTTAGTGAGAACCTATCTGTAAAAATAAAAAGGGCTGAAGATGTAATTTAATGGTAAAGCACTCCTGGATTCATTTCCAGCACACACACAAAAGTCAACAGTTCTGAGGTGTCTAGGGCATGGCCTGCAGCCTTAATGCCTAGAGAGTGAAGAGTGAAGGGGCAGTGGTTTCTCAGCTACAGCCAAGGGGTAACCTGGGGAATCCACAGCCACTCCCCACCCCCACCCCCACCCCCTGCTGCAAACCACATCCTCATACATATGTTTAGAAATTGTTTTACTTTGAGATAGGGTCTTGATAAACTTATTATGGTCTCTCTTATGTTGATGAGACTGGCTTTAAACTTGCAATCTTCCTGCCTCAGCTACTGGGATTGGGCATGCTCCATCACAGCCCATCTCACACCTGCTTTGACTAAACGTTTTTATCATGGCACTGGGGATTGAGCACAGGATCTTGACGTGGTAGGCAACGTTGTAACACTGAGCTACACCCCTACTTCGGTGCTTGCCTTAACTTTAACATTCCCATCTTCAGTTACCCACAATCCCTTCAGCCAGACCCCACGTGGTTACCTTTCCTGCAGGGGGACAGAGACTGGGCCCCAAACTCAAGCATTTGATGCTTCCTGTTAGAATTTTCATGCTGTTTGTGTCCTAGCAGCTGCCACCCCAAAACAAAGCCTTTTTCTTTTGGAAGCCATCTGTGAAAACAGTGGTTTTATTGAAAAAAATATTTTGTGCACAAGAAATAATTGTGCCTTTGGGCCTCCCATCTCGTGACTTGGAGCTGCAAAGTGGGTAGGTCACAGCTGGGTGAAGTCCCCTTTGTGCTGCTCCAGCCACTGATCCAGCGTCCGGGCCTTGGGGTTGAGCTGCAGGGTCAGCTCAATGTTTCGGTCAGGTTTCAGAGAGTAGAAACGGAACATGTTGGCCAGGTCACGGGCCCCAGGAAAGCCAAGCCTCTCGTAGTCTTCAGGAGTTGTCTGGAAACAGAGGGAGGCTACTATATCTGGCCTCCTCCAACACACAAGGGAGGCAGGTGGGCTAAGGTCTTCCTACCTGCTTCACCCAGAGCTGCTACTAGCCTCTTGGTCACCAACTGGGGTCCTCAACACATGGTCACTTGAAAACATTCTACTTCAGAGATGAAGTTCAGAAACCACAGTTCCTCAAAAGCTACCTGATTAGTCAGTTTAAAGACTGTTCAAGATCATGAGATCTTGACTCATGAAAGCTTTTGGGCTCCTTCCAAATGAGAAGTCTGCAACATTACTTCCATGCCTAAAAGCCAGAGCTACTCTCCTTTCCCTCCCAAACTGAACCTTACCTCCTCAGCCAACCTAACAGCCCAACCCAGGCCTTTGTTGCTCTCTTAAAAAAAAAAAAAAAAAAACATGGTGGGAATGGGGTTGTGGCTCAGTGGTAGAGTGCTTGGCTAGCATGTGAGAAGCCCTAGGTTCGATTCTCAGCACCACATATACAAAGTTAAAAATTCATTGGCAACTAAAAAAATATTTTTAAAAAAATAAATAAATAATACATGGTGCTGGGTGCAGTGGCACACATCTGTAATCCCAACAATACAGGAGGCTAAGGCAGGAGGATCACAAGTTTAAGGCCAGCAACTTAGTGAGATCTTGTTTCAAAATAAAAGGTCGCCTGGCATGCGTGCGGCCCGGGTTCGATCCTCAGCACCACATACAAACGAAGATGTTGTGTCCGCCGAGAACTAAGAATAAATAAATAAATGTTAAAATTCTCTCTCTCTGTCCCCCTCTCTCTCTCACTCTCTCTTAAAAAAAAAAAAAATAATAAATGCTAGGTTGAAACCACCTGTTCTTTAAAAAAAATAATAATAATAATAAAAAAAAATAAAAGGTCTGGGAATATAGCTCTTCAGTCTCACTGTCTAAATGAACAAATAACACATGGCCACTTAATATACATTTTCTAGGCACTAGGCATTCTGCTAAGAAAGCCCTAACATCAATTATTTCATTTAGTCCTCACAGCAGCACAAGGTGGAAGCTATAATATATCCATTTGACAAATAAGGAAGCAGACAGGGGTCAGGACAGGTCCCAAGCTCACATGTTGAAACTGAGTCTGGGAACCTGGCCCCCAACTTCCCCATTGCTGCTCTGAGGGTGACTTGCCCTAGAAATTGTTTCCCATATTTTCTTAATGTCTTCTGTAATGCAAACAACAAACATTAGAAAGAAGGCACCCAAGGGTCTGGTCAGGAAGCCTGAGGGTCAGTGGGGAGAAGAGGAGATGGGAATGCCTCCTGCCCACCCAGGCAGGACAAGAGGGACAGGGTTAGGCCTTTCTATCCTCCCCACTTGCTCTTCTTCAACACACGTCCTACAGAGAAGCCCAGTGGGCCCTGTGTCTTTAGCCTGCCTTGCCTAGGTTTCTACTGTCCTTTATGAAAATTTGTATCCTTGGTCAAAACACATAGCCAGAAATTTCATTCTGGTCACACAGGAACAGCACAACATGTTAACCATGACAATGGATTTAGATTTGCCTCGCTCGTGGGGACAGCCCTAACTACTACTTCCCTAGACCCAAAAAGGCCCCTTTGAGAGTTAGAAGGACCTGTTGAGGCTGTGGAATTGCCTGGCAAGACCTGGGACCTCACCCACCCCAGAAGGGAGGAGCCCACCTTGGCATGGTGCACAGTCTTGCCCGTGTGCTTGGTGAGCAGGGCGGCATACTCCTCTGCGGTGTGTCTGCAGGTGCTGAGTCCGATGTTCTGCCCGATATATGCTTCTGGCATCTTCAGCAGGCTGAGCACCACAGGACCCAGGTCACTCACAGCCATACCATCCATGGGGATGTCACCCATGGGCAAGTCTGGGGGGTGGTGGGTAAAGAGACATGCTGGCATGGTCAGAGCCCAGAGTTAGTCTACTGGGCACCCACACATATCAGCACTAGTCAGTGTCCAGGTGTGATGCCAGGAGCCCTTGGGTCCTTCATCAGCCAGCAAAAGTGGTGCCTTTTCAAATCACCCAGGAGCCTGAGGGGATGAGTCCAACTCAGAATCCTTGATAAGGTGAACTTCTCACAATAATTCTGCAAACTCTAAAGGGTGGTACAGCAGGCCACATGGGCACCAGACTCTGCTTACCAGGTGGGCTAGGCTCCCTGGCAGTGCCTATGTCCTTACATGAGGGTAGTGGCATTAACACTCAGTGTGAAGAGGGGCTAGCTGAACCTGGCCCCTCCCACTCTGGCCTCCAGTGCATCCTGCTCTAATCTAACCACCAACTGGCAGAACTTAAGTTGCCTGAGGTTCCTTCCAAGCCAGAGCCCCTATTTACAGACCGGCCAACAGGCACAAAAAAGACCAGATGTTCCCACTGAAATCTACAATTGAACCCTACCATCCAACCTTCCTTTTAAAATTTTTTTTTGCAATGCTGGGGATCAGGACATACCACTGGGCCATCCTCCCAACCCCCTTTCCTTTCTTTGAAGAGGTAATAATAACAGTGCTGCTGTCTACAGTTATTATTACTTGGAAAAATCACCCAATGGAGAAATCACCCATCAATACCACCTGGTTGGTTTCCTCACTGTCCCTGTGGAACAGTCACAGGCCCAATGTGAGGGAGCCAGGACTTGGGCCCAGAACAATCTTGACAGTAAGCCTGCTTTCCTCTACACCTGCAGCTTCACAGTCAGAACTCTGCTTCACTGTGTTTGGGAAGGGGCACTCACTCAGCAGATAGCTCTTCCCATCTGGGGCTTTCTGAGGCAAAAAGTAGGAGAGGAGGTTCTCAAAATAGCAGGGCAGCCGCACACTGGTCATGGGAACGCCAATGTCTCGGAAGTATTCTTCCACCTCCCCTTTGCCGTCAAAGTGGCCTGCTGCCAGCCTCCCAGCCGTCAGCTTCCTGATATTCTCCAGGCCACTGTAGACCACGTAGCAGAGGCCCAGGCGCTTGGCCAGATCAGCCAGCAGCTTTCCCTGGTGGACAGGAGAAATCACAAAGCTAAAAGGAAGATGCATGTCCCTGACCACAATCTTCTACCCTAGCTCTAATCCCAGAGTTGCCACATCTGTGAGGCTAAAAGCTAGGCTCATCTATCCCAGAGGAAGCCCCCTCTTCCAGAATGATGCTTACCCCCAGCACACACCCATGAACACAGAATTGTAAGGCCTGAACCACCAGGTTCTGGAGTCACCTTTCCACATCATTCAGGTGGTTCTCAATGGCAACCCACAGGCTCAGGGAGGGAATGTGGATTGGGCTGTGAGGAGGCCCACTCAACTTCCACATCAAATCTCTGCTAGCCTGACCATCCTGTCCATGGAACTCAGCCCACTTCCTTGGAGATACCTGAGGTCTACCTCGGAGGTACTGCAGCTCCTGCTAAGTGCACAGCTGCTGAGGTTCTAACTCTATTGAGGCCTTGCCACACACTGGCTGTACCTCCAGGACCAGTGATGCAGACATTCCAACCACTGGAAAAACATGACACATGCCACATGAGGTTGTGAGAGGATTAAATGGTGGCCTCCAAAGAGATATGCCCATATCTGCACCCCTGGAAAACTGTGAATGTGACCTTGGAGAAAAGATCTTTGCAGTTAGGGATCTTGAGATGAGATCATCCTTGATTAAGCAGATAGTCCCTAAATGACAAGAAGAGAGGAGACAGAAGGCAGGGGAAGATGGAGGCAGAGACTGGAGCGATGTACCCAAAGCCCAGGATGGCCTGGAGTCACCGGAAGCTGGGAAAGGTGAGGAAGGATTCTCCCTGCAGCCCTTGGAGGGAGTGTGACCTGGAGGACACCTTGATTTTGGACTTCTAGCTTCTAGAACTGTGAGCTAGATTTCTGTGGTTTTAAACCACCTGGATTATAATCACTTATTACAGTGACTCACACAGGTTTCTCAGGATTACTGACTGAGAACAAATGCCAACCAGGGAATTTGTTTTTGTCCACTGTGTGCTGTGGCTGGATGAGGTTGGTCCCCAAGGGTTCCTGTGCCAGAAGGCTGGTCCCCCATCAAAGCCTGAACAGCAGCATGAAGAAGAGGGGAAAGGCAAGTCAGAGTTGCCTCCCAGGACCAGCTAGGATAGAGCGCTCCCAAGATGAGCTGCTCCTGGCCCTGACCCTGGCCTCCCTCCTGCCTGCCCTCACCTGCTTGACCTCCTGCTCCTGGCTGCAGTTCTCCCAGTAGTTGGTCACAATGAAGGTGGCATGAGCCCCGGTCAGGGCCGACTCCATGCTGGCCTCGTCATTCTGATCTCCTTTTACCACTTCAGCACCTTGCAGCCTCAGCTCCTTTGCTGCCCTCTGCTCAGGATCCCGGGTCACCACTCGAACCCTGAACATCCCATCTTCCAGAAGCGTGCAGGCCACTGAGCCCCCCTGGGCACCTGTGAAGAGTTCATAAAGACCTCCACATAGGGCTGGGATTGTGGCTCAGAGGTAGAGTGCTCACCTAGCACGGGCGGGACCTGGGTTTGATCCTCAGCACCACATAAAAATAAAGGCATTGTGTTGTGTCCATCTACACCTAAAAAATAAATATTGAAAAAAAAAAAAAAAAGACCTCCAGCATCACATCTTCCCATCTGGGCTTTCTGGGGCAAAAAAGTAGGAGGAGGAGGTTCTCAAAACAGCATTGGAGCCCAGAAGGGAATGGTTACCACAGCAAGAAACACCCAGGAAATCTTTTCATGCATGATGTTCATTAAAAGATTAAAAATAACAGCTTTACAGAGATATAATACTATAATATTCACCTCTATCAAGTGGTGTTTAGTATATTCACTGAGCTATACAGCCATCACCACCATCCGATTCTAGAACATTTTTTTCACCCCCAAAATAAGCTCATGCTTATTAACAATCATTCCCCATTCCTCTGTCCCCAGCCTTGGCCAGTTACTAATTTACTTGTCTCTATGGATTTTGAGCACTTGCCGAGCAAGCTCAAAGTCTCAGGTTCAATCCCCAGCACCAATAAATAAATAAATACTGAAGTTAAAAAAAAATTGAACTATGGAATATTTCACTTGTATAAAATGATGCATCAATAGTCATGAGCTACCCTTTGGTTTAAAAAATAAAACATCACTGCTTAGCATAGTGGTACACTGCTGTAATCCCAATAGCTATTCGGAAGGCTGTGGCAGAGGGTTACAAATTGGAGGCCAGCCTGGAGAACTTAGCAAACCTTGTATCAAAAATAAAAAGGGGGGGGGGCTGGAGATGTGGCTCAGCGGTAGCGCGCTCGCCTGGTGTGCGTGCGGCCCGGGTTCGATCCTCAGCACCACATACCAACAAAGATGTTGTGTCCGCCGAGAACTAAAAAATAAATATTAAAAATAAATCTTTCTCTCTCTCTTTTAAAAAAAAATAAAATAATAAAATAAAATAAAATAGGGCTGGGGATGTTGCTCAACTGGTAGCACGCTCGCCTGGTGTGCGTGCGGCCCGGGTTCGATCCTCAGCACCACATACCAACAAAGATGTTGTGTCCGCCGAGAACTAAAAAATAAATATTAAAAATAAAAAAATTTAAAAAAAAAATAATAAAAAAAATAAAATAAAATAAAAAGAGGGGCTGGGGATGTGGCTCAAGCAGTAATGCACTCGCCTGGCATGCGTGGGGTGCTGGGTTCGATCCTCAGCACCACATAAAAAAATAAAATAAAGATGTTGTGTCTACCGAAAACTGAAAAATAAATATTGAAAAATTCTCTTTCTCTCTCTCTCTAAATAAATAAATAAATAAATAAATAAAATAAAAAGAGTTGGGTGTAGTGGTGCATGCCTGTAATCCCAGTGGCTGGGGAGGCTGAGGCAGGAGGATTGCCAGTTCACAGTCAGCCTCATCAATTTAGCCAGGCCCTAAGCAACTCAGCAAGACCTTATCTCTAAATAAAATACAAAAAAAGGGCTGGGGATGTGGCTATATGGTAAAGCATTCCTGGTTTAAATCCCTGGTACCTAAAAATAAAATTTTAAAAAATTAAAAAAAACAACTGGGGGTGCCCCTGAATTCAATTCTCAGTAAAACAATGATAATAATTGATTAAATTAAAACAACCAAAAGGGGGCTGGGGATGTGGCTCAAGCGGTAGCGTGCTTGCCTGGCATGCGTGCGGCCCAGGTTCGATCCTCAGCACCACATACAAACAAAGATGTTGTGTCTGCCGAAAACTAAATAAATAAATATTTAAAAAAAAAAAAAAAAACAACCAAAAGGTAGAAAATAAAAACCATCCCTCAGGTTGGGGGATGCAGCTTAGTGATCTAAGCTAGTCTACCATGCACCAGGTTCTGGCATCCATCCCCAGCTAAATAAATATATATGAAATATAAAAAAACAGGTACGCGCAAAATACAATGCTACCAACTGAAAAAATGATACCTACTTGCATGAGTCTATACAGTTAGAAAGCTCAAGAAACTTGGTAACTGATGGAACAGTAGGGAGCGAAAACTTAATTTTGGTATCTAGAGCGATTTTTATTTCAAGTGCTGGGGATCGAACCCAGGGGTACTTTGCCACTGAATTTTTAATTTTATTTTGAAAGGAATCTCACTAAGTTGCCCAGGCAGTCCTCAAACTTGGCGATCCTTCTTCCCCAGCCTCCGGAGTCACTGGGATTACAGGGGTGTGCCAACAGGCCCGCCTGGAACATCGCCCTCATCACTGTTACTTTGCTCTAAGGTGCTGGACCACGGAACTACAGCCCCAGACCCTTCCATTTTGAGTCAGGGTCTTACTAAGGTGCCCTGGCTGGTCTCCACCTTGCAGTCCTCTACCTCGGGCTCCCGAGTTGCCGGGATCACGGTGCTAACATTTTAAAAGGTAACTCCAAGGCAATCCTCCCCCTGCGCGG